TACAGGCAGAGCGAAGGAATGGGGACCTCTCATGAGGCAGCACCGTCTGTCCGCACATCTTACTGAAATTCAGATTTTCAGCTTTGCGTCACGAGGAAGTGGAGCTTTGCCCATGATGCGGGACGTTCAGCCAAAGCTTCTCTCTGCTCCTCTGTGCTTCAAGAAGCTGTCAGCCCTTTGGGGGCATTTGCTCTGAGGGTGTTGGGCTTAATGATGGTTACGTTACATGAGAGCTGTACACGCAGATAGGCTCAGATGAGAGACCTATGTGAGTGTTTCTACTGAAACCCTATAGCGTGGCACAAGCAAGAGCTGTGCTGGGCTCTCCAAGTGACCACTCACTGCTCAAGTACCGGCTGGCTAATCCAGACATTCCCCAGCTGGTAGTTTAGAGGGAGCTGAAGATAATGTGGGAGGTCAGGGAGATGCCAGGCTTTGCTATTTCTGTTGGTCACGGTGTCTTTTAATGTTCCTCCTCCCACCTTCATCCCAAGTACCCTGGTGAAACACATGCAAAATACTTCAGCTCTTCAATATGTGCAGCACAGATCTCAGTAGTGCTATTCTGCAACTTAACATCAAGTTAAATTTGTTTCAAAACGTCTATTGCACTAATCCTGTGCCCCCTGAGGTCACAGTAGCCCATCAGCATAATTATTTATATTGCTTCAAGGGGGTTAGTAGTATTGCCAAGTCAAAGTGGATGATCAGGGCGTTTCACACACTTTCTGTGTGTTTAAGACCAACATTAAGACACACATTCTGTGCGTTTAAGATGCAAGACAGAAAAGAAGCAAGGCCTGCATCTTCTCCCTTTCATGCCATTAAGAATGTGTTCTCTTTTAAGAAAAGAATAATGCTGGAAAGAGTTGCTGGATGTCAGCAAGCAGGCCTGTTCAGCAAAAGCCTCTGAGGAGCCTCAGGAGCCACCTCTTCAGGGGTAAATGAAAAAAGCAGTTAGGGTCCCCTCGCAGAGCTGAAGAAGCCGCTGGAGTGCACAGAGAAGCCTCTCGGAAGGACCCTGGGCAGAGGGTGAGGGAGCACCAGGTGGTGTCTGAGCCTCAAAAGCAGGTTGGCTCAGGAGAGGATCTGGTGGCTTAGACTTTGGAGGGAAAAGAAATCAAGAGTCTTGGCGTGCAGAATGCTCTGCAAATCGGGGTTGAATTTTCTGAACAAAGAGCCAGCCTTCTTTTTGTTACCATTATGCTCAGGAAACAAAATAGTCTGTATGATCTCTGTGAACAGAAATACCTGGCTTGTATCTCAATTTCTGCTCCTTGCAGGTGGTAACATGCAAGGTAGAGTTGCAGTTTTGATGTGGTATAGGTTGTGATCTGGGAGGCTTTGTTGCTGTCAACCCAGAACTGTTTCTGCTGTGGAGTGTATGCCCTGGTCCTCCACCACTGGTGTTTTAAGACCTGGGACCTAAGGAAGGACTTTGCTTTAATTTGTCTGCTAATATTAGTACCTAATCCACCCTTTGTTTTCATTTAATCTGGAGCATTGTTGCCCTTTGAAAATATGTTGTCCTTTGAAAATATATTGCTGTAATTTAGCTTTTTAAATAAATTCCTTGGGAATTAAAAAATGCATTGATGACCGGCAAAGCTTATACAGTGGAAGTGGGAGTTATATTTTCACAACCCATTCAAGCCCTTTCTTTCAACCAGGACGGCCTCTTTGCCTTCATGAGATGCTGTACTACAGATCAGATTTCAGACAGTATCTTCCCATAACATTCACAGACATCAGCCCCTGTGGGAATGAAGGCAGGCATATTTCTATTGATTTTTAATCTTGAAGGAATTATGACAATTAAGTGTTTATTTATTACCCTCAAGGGGATGAAAAGGGATGGAGGATCGCTGATGCAAACGAGGGAGAAGTACGTACTAAACCCAGGCAGTTTGGACCCTGCTCCCAGACTTGCAATGTGACAGCAACATTTGAAAAGCGAACCCGAGCAGCTGCGTAACCACAGCGGTTGTTAGCCCTTCCCAAGCGCTGATGGTGCAACAGCCCTGCTGTTGTTAGCGTTTCAACCCGTTCGGGTATCTCTATTTATCAGACTGCAATCACACCCTTGGATGACAGCGCTGACGTGACTACACCTGATAGCAGCTCTGGTATTGGGAGTGAAATAGTTTTGGCGCCCGGCAACAAGAGAATTCACTGTCCGATATACCCCAGCTGATTCCGCGAGTGCTTCGGCACGTACACGGGGACCTCGGGCAGAGCGACAGCAAGGACTGCAGCTTGAGGGACCAGTATAAGAAAAACAGGACTGTGTTCTTCATCTCTCCCATTCTGTCTTTTAACTCCAGTGAAAACTACATTATTCATAAAACTAAGTCACATAGTGTCTCAAATTCAAACAGGTCTGTAATTTTCTCCCCATAAAGTGCCTAGATAATTGACCGAAAATACAATTAGTTTTGAGTCAACATCTTTGCAAGCCTTAGCTGGACAGTGGTACGTGATTTACTGGCTAGCAATAAATGCTGCTCCCTTTACCTGCATAGCACGCAGCATCTGAGGGAGTAAGTTTAACGCATCTTAAACATCACCAACCTTTGCACTATCTTTGTTACTGATTAAACATGAGATCCATGGGCTGATCTTAAAGACCATGGATATACATAGATTATATCTATATTGGGAACTTGAGGAGCACTTCTGAGCAGCTGGGTCTGAGAGAGAGTCTCAGATGCTTTCCAGCTCTCTCTAGGAGAGAGCCCTCAGGTCGCACTGCTTCCCCGCCGCCGGTACGCACGCAGCCCAAATGGGACCTGCAGCACGTTTCAAAAATGAGGTGCAAGGCCCAAACGGGACCTACGACATGTTTCAAAAAGGTGCATATTGTAGGACTGTGCACCGGGGGATTAATACCCTAGGTGAGCAATGTAGCCACAGCCAAAGCTGAATTAGCAGAGATTAGCCGAGCTGCAGTAACCGACGCGGGATGTTAGCATGAACCTCAGGAGAAGTTTCTGTGAAGTTTCTTTCATTTGCGCTGGGCTAAAAGACACTCAGATAATTAGTTGTTGCAGCTCAGCTTATATGGGAGACCTCACGTAAGCTGCCTGAGCTTGGGAAGAGCAAAAGCTGAAGAGTGTAGATGAAAGCATGGAGGACTGCAGCGAGCATGCAAGTTTCTGAACTGTATCTGGTCTCACTTGCCTTGTGCGAGGTGGTCCTTGGTTATGCCACGCCTCTGTCGAGATGTGTCCCTCAAAATAGTCTAGCCAACTAACTGAAGACAGCCGGACATAAAGGAAACGCTAGATAGTAAGAGGAGTGATGTGATCTGGCTTGGCCATGGTAACACAGGAGTTTCTAGAAGCTATCAGAGATGGTTACAGCTTAGATAAGAATTAAGGCTGCTTATAAAAAGGTAAATCATGCCGTAGACATTCCTATCATAAGGAGTTAGACCAGCTTTTCACCAGCATGGCTGAGCCTTTCTCGTATCATGTCCTGATTAGGACTGAGGAGTGGTTCCTGTAAATGTCCCCTGAAACATGGTAAATTCTTTGATGATAAAATTCAGTGGCTGTTGCCACAGACTTAAAATAATTCATTTTGCTTTTCGGAGTGGATTAAATCATTTTCCCGGTCATAAGACTGTGCCCAAAGCCTACAGCAGCTTTCAGAGACGACTTCTTCCCCAAAGCAGGGCCTGAACTGGCTCTGAATTAACACATGTATAAAGCAAGAACGGTTAGGCTGACTATTCTTGTAATTAAAGTGATTGAGTATATGGAAATTCACTTGCCCATGCTTAGATTGTTTGAACAGAAATATTCAACGCAAGGGAGTCCTCCAGAACAAGAAAGTCTGCATGCCAGTGATTAGAGATCGTGTGAATCATCGCTGTTCACAACATGCTATGGTGCAGGTCAGCACAGTCCTACCCTCTGCTGTTTCTACGCCACGTTACTTGCTGGAGACCTCTAAATAACTCCTCATTTGTTGAAATAGAACTACGGTACTAATTTAAGGCCAGGTTTTCTCACTGCCTATCACTGCAAGATCGCTTAAATTGGGGGTGGTGGGAGGATGAGCAGGAGCAGCTATTTTGGAACTAGTGGTTAATGATTGATTTCTTCCTGCAGTCAGCCACTGGGCTACAAGTTTTTGAAGTAATGTGAATATACAAAAAAAAAAGAAAAGGTTACAGGTACGCTACATGGTAGATGCACACGAGGATGATCCTATTTGGTTTGATATCAAAAAAAAGCTTGACAGAATGTTTTGCTAAAATAAAACTGTGTTTGAATATAGAAAAATGACTCAATATGAAGAGACAACATTTTCCCAACTGCTATTCATTTGTCAAAAAATATGTACAAAATGTATTCAGTTCTTCATTAACCCTGCATGAAAAAAAAGAAAAGTATTCCTGTGTGTGGATTTTATATATTTAGGAATATGTTTGCTAAGGTTAATAAATTATTATTTTATAATTATGAAAGCATTAGCACCAATATGAAACCATGATCATCTTTAAACTAATCGGAGCTTGTTTTTACGATATAACTAACATGTTTCAAAATATCAATAACCAAAAAAAGCTCTGAAAGTATCAAGTTAGTATTTGACTAAGGATCTCTTCGGAAACTTTTAAGTTCCCCTGGAAGCTGCCATTTTACACCTTCCATTTAAAAAGTTTATACTCAGGTCCAAGCTTATCAATAATTTTAGGGGAGCAACACTAAAGAGAAAATAAGACATTTTTAAAAACAAACTCCAACTATCATGGCTATTATGATCGATCATCTGTAAGATATATATCTCTAGAAACTGCAGAAGTACTTATCTAAACACTCTTGAACGCTCCTCGTGAAAGAATAGCAACAAAAATGACACCAGCAAGCATTTTTAAATAAACAAACATATTTTTTCAGGGGTTAGGGCTTAAGTTTTGCCTTTTTTTTTTTTTTTATTTATTATTTTGAGTAATCATGCCCTAGAAATAAACCAAGGCAAAGGTCACTTACCTCTCACGTGGACCAGAAGAAAGCCAAAGCACAAAAGAAGGATACTTCTGAATTTCCCCATGGTGTTCTATGTAGCGCCTTGCTTGCACTGGTTGTGTTTTGTTTTGTTTTTTTTTTTCCAAGCAATGACAGTAGATATTGCAACTGCAGCGCCAAGGTTTGAGGGAGAAGATGCTTGGAGTCAGCGGCTCTTTCCAAAGAGTTCTCTCACCATCACACTCAAGACCGCAGGAGAGAGAAGTCCCAAAAAACCTCTTCCAGTACAAGTAATAAAAGCAAAACAACCCTGCTACGGCCAAGCCATGAGCAGCCCTCTAAGAAATCTATTTATTGCCCAGGCAGGGAGCCTGGAGAGCCGGGGAACCAGCGGCAGCACCCAATGAGGAGGGAGCCAGCGTGCTCCGAATCCACCTCCTTCCCCGAGGGAAAGCCAACCTGTTTGACATCCTCGCCTTCAAAGCAGGGTGTGGTGCTGGGGAGCTCAAGCAGCTTGCGAGAGGAGACAGGCCTTCTCTGAAGCTTACTTGAAAAAAAATCTCTCAGATATACTCTGTCCTCCAAGCGCTGCTTCCCTGCTCGTTTTTCGGCGGAGCCCGTGACTGCTGATAAAGGCAATCCTGTCAGAGCCCGAACCGCCAGCTCAGGCCGCTGCATTAGGTAAGTGGAGGCCAAGAATCTGTTTTGCAGAGACTGGGGAGTTGTCTAGAGAAGAATGACAAAAAAAATAAAAAAAAATTTATAAGCTTGAAATGCGATGTCGGACTACTGAACTGAAGCACGCTCAGCTCCCTGGTGGATGCTTGTCTTTGCAAGGTAACTGTTGTCTGTCGTGACTTTTTCCATTGCTGCAGATGCGTTTTTAAATATAAATACGCATGCATATCCTGCGTGGAGAGAGATCTCAGCTAGTGCTGAGCGTGAGAACACAAAGCTTTGGGAAATGAACAGGCATCACGCACCCATCCGTCCACGAACACGCTTGAAAATCGCCGACGTGATGTAAATTCAGTTTTGTCACAGCCTTTCTCGAGCAACCACCTATGCCGGCGCGCTTGTCTCTTGGACTGGAGTGCCACCGGTCACGCTGGTGCTCGGCGCCAGCAAGGAGACGGGTGTGCATCCTCCCTTTTGCTGGGGGGGGGGCAAAGCTGCAGGTGTTTTTGCCCACGCTGACTCGGCTGGGGCAGCAAATACCGCCGGGACTGCGCTACGGGGAATGGCCGCGCCGTGGGCTTGGGGTGTTGCTGGGTGATTCAGTCTGCTGGGGGCCACGGGCTGAACAACACGTGCGTTTCGGTCCAGTTACCTAGAATGGACAACACGGCGTGTGCGCTGAATTCACGGGTTTATGCTAAATACAACAACAACAAAAAAAAAAAAAAAAAAAAAAAAGAATATGGGTGCAACAACAGAAACTGGAATGGTAGAACCCAGTGATATTGGATCTTCAAGAAGTTTAATGTTCAGGTAGGTCAGCTCTGAACCCCCCAAATTTGAACCAGTAGAATGGTTTATAAAGGCCTGGCTTATTCTATCACATGACTTAACTATTTTAAAGCTAGTGATAGAAGCTCTGAGCCTCAATTTATGTATCATCATTCTCCTCGTCAGGGCCAATTGCTCAATCTCAGAAGAGTGAAGGACATTCAGTTTTAACTTTGTCAGGCGGTTAAAACAAGAATTACACCATGACGTGAGCAATCCCATAAATCCACTGTTTATATTTTCTCCAGAATAACAAAAGCAGGCACACACGTGCTAATCTTTGTATCAGTGATGAATGTGCCTGAAGGGAACAGGAAAGATAGCAAGGCTGTGTACCAGTCCCAGGCAAGTCTGAACAGCTTACAAATATTTAGTAGCTTTGCTTCAGAACAGTTGTTCTTGTAAGTGAAGTCTTCCCAAAATACGTTCTCTCGCCTACTAGTTCATTGGGATATTGAATATTCTCAGCTTAATTTTGGAGATGATGCTATCCCTTGTGCAGTTCTTCTAAAACCAGCTACTGCTCTCTCTAGCTAAATAAAAACCATACGAAGCAGGCATAGGAAGGAGTGGACCTAGTGCTGGAGTTGGGATGTTTCGAATACTTATCCCATTTCTGTTCTTGGGGGCATTGCAGGAACTTTTTAATCTTATCTCTTTGTGTCAAAGATGTGCAACTGTTTGCCCAAGACATCAAGTAAACAATATTATATATTAAAAACAAATATAAGGCCTTACACCTGACCGTAAACTGCAGTTTTAGCGCTTTGAGAAATCACTGGCCCAACTTTTTCTATTTAAAAGGAAAACAAAGTTCTAATATTCACCTGACAAGGTGGATGACTTGCCTAATTCTTTGACGTGTTCTTTGAAGAAAAGAACATGTATTAAAAAAATAGCAAAGGGGTGGAGAAATGGAGCCAGTGTGTCTGCCTATTCTCTGCACCACATACTTTTAGCCCATCAGGCTTCTGTCTGATGAGACAAGCTAAGAGAGAAGGGGGCAGTCACAACTCACCACAGATGCAGCCCCATCCTTCCTGTGAGCAGAGGTTGGACATTGCTCTCTTTGGCACAAGTCACCTGATGTATCTAGGACTCTATCAGAGATGAAAGAACCAAATTATACACTACAGCTACTGGGGAAAGACACTAATATCCTACAGTATTCATCTTTTGCCATAAAAATTGAAGGATTTTAATTAAAATATCAAAACATTTGATGATGTTAGACATTGATTTAAATATAAGCCAAATACACAAGTGAATCAGTGATACAATTTCTTGGCAATGGAAGAATACAATTACTACCTGCTACCTAAAACTTCAGTGGTTTTTCACAAGCAGATAGAGGAACATGCATTTTAGTAGTTTGTTCTTTTGGTTCTTAAAGTACTCCAAATGGAGGGGGTTGAAAAAAATATATTTTTTCTCCATTCAAGTCCTTTTCCTATTCCTAATCATCTCTTCGCTTTCCTCCAAATGTGTCTTTTATATCTGTGTAGCGTAAAAGAGCAAAAAGAAAACCTTTTCAGTTCATGCAAAAGTTAAGGTTTGTTTCATAAACTTTTCAAGTGAAAAACACAAATCGTACAGTTCAGATAGTGCTCTAAAATAAATAGAGAGAAAAACACTGAAATGCACAATTGGGAGTGTAATTCAGACCAAGGCACGCTGAAAGCTGAGCACACTAAAAAGTTTTCCTTAGCATTCAAAATTTGGCACAGATATTGAAATGAGCATGAATAGGAGCTACAGTAAAAACCTGCCAAATTTTATGTTTAAGAATCGCCTGCTTTCATTTCCACAGCCAGATGAATTCGTTTGGGTAAGTTTCGGTAAGTATTTGAAACGGACATGACATTTGAAAACCATCAAAACATTTTTCAAGCAGTCGTTTCACTGAGAGTTAGGATGAACTGAACTGCTCCCTCAGCTCCCACGCAGAAGCTAAAGCGACGTGCTATTCTACAAGAAGAAGATCCTGCTTTGCTTTTTCCTTCTTATGACTGAAGGCAACTCCTCCTCAAAGGGGGTAGACTGGAGAAAAAACAGAACTGAAGGTGTGCCACAGGACCAGGTCAGAGCTCTTTGTCGCCATCCATTTAAACTCAGCTTAATGGTGAAAGTACCTCACCAGGAGTGAACTTGCAGCTTGGGCCTGGAAAGGACAGTAAATTTTTCATGCCACTGCAGAGTCTGATTGAAACCTGTATGGAAACTAGAACGTGAACTCCCAGGTTGGGATCTGAAAGTCACTGACAGCCCATAAGGCCACAATGGGCAGCAGCTGATCCGTGGGAGATAACCATTAAAACTCTTCAGTGGGGTGAAGAATAATTGCTGACAGGTAATGTTTCTTGACCCAACGAATGTGAGAAATAAGGAATTTGGATATTTAGTTACGCAACGCAAGAACAGTTGAGCTCAGAATTCACAAGAGCAGACTCTCCATGGATAGGTGAGGCAAAGAGCAAGGCGGCAATTAATACCCAGATAACTGAAAAATAAAGTTAACTGCTACGTTTTATCCACAGATAAGTAACAGCAACCCATAAATTGGCAGTTTCTTGCTCACCACGCCAGAAACAGCCTGAAATGTCAAGCCTTCTCTTTAACCTTTTCTCTGCAGGTGGCAGCAGCCAGTCTCTCCTCCTTCTCTCACAACTCCAGCTTGTGAATCCATAACCGGGCAAAGCCAGAGGAGACGAGAGCTGTTGAAATCAGCATTACAACAGCCATTCCCTCCAACCATCAGCTTTAGGTTTTCCTGCTTTGTGGAGCATAGCTGCGCCCAAATTTTATGCATCAATCTATGCCTGTTTAGACTGAAAAAAAAAAATAAAAAAAATAAAAAAAAATAAAATAAAAATCAGTACATTTCTCACTATTTAGTCACTTGGCAACCCTCATTTAGTTAGGGTCCCCTCATATCAGAAGGTGAGACAGTGACACACGGCCCTGCAAAGGTGTCTGCTCCTAAGGGCTGTGATGACAGCTGCAGGAAGATCGTGCGACGCAAACACCGGCAAGCTACAAGTCTTCTCTGCACTTCGCACCCATAAGCACCCTGTGAAAGCAGCTCACAGCCTTGTGGCTACCGGCCAACTTCCTTCTAAAACGATCAAAACATCTGTAAGAAATAAACCTGAATTGCTGACGGAGCAGGAAGACAAACTCCCTCTGAAGGCTGCTTCTCTGGTAGAGCACCAAAATTTTTGTAGTTCTAGAGCTACTAGGAAGGAAAATACATAAACATTTTCTTTGTCATTTTTTAAAATTTATTTTTAGAAAAATCACAATGTTGATAGGAAGTTTTAATAAGTAATTTTTAAGCTTGCAAAAGCTGAAGGAGGATTCAAAAGTCTGGTTAGCTAAAATCTAGTTTGAGCTTCCCCTGCCATTCTATCCCTAACAATCACTAGCTTCTTTCTGCTTCCTCTACACTTGGCATTCATATGAGATACCTGTTTAATCATGCAGGTAAGCAGTACGCTTCATTTCTTTGTATTTACATAGATCAAATGTTTATATAAAAATCACTTTTCCACCCTCAAACACACTTACAGGTTTTAGCACTTTTATACTAAAAGCAGAAATGGGGCAAAAAGAGGTTTACAAATTAATTCCATAACAAAATACTAAAAATCTGTGTAAAGCTTTGTTGCAAGCTAAGAAACATGTACAAGAAATTCTTAAATGAATTATCCTTGGCATACATTCATATCTGAATGTACAGATATATTTACATGTTTAATATCCAAATTCATAATGACTTCTAAGATTTTCCATGATATGTCATCTTCCTGTAGAACTCTGCCAGGTGGCTGAAGCACATTAGTAAGACACATATTGTAAAATTGCATGAAAATTGAAAACAATTAGAATGAAAGCCAACAGAACCAGTCAGACTATTCCTTCCAGACAGAACTAGTTATTATTCCAGACTAGTCCTTTAACTGTTAAGTGAGTTGCAGTTTTCCATGTTTCCACAGATCCTTGAAACCTTCCTGTGGCTTTCAAAAGCCACAGAAAAGCTCACAAGTGTTTTCAGCGGAGGGTGCAACCATGGGTCCTCATCCTGAAGGCAATCCTTCACAGGTCCAAAAGCATTCTTCACACAAATGCTATTTCTACTGTTCAATGGATGCTTGTGGTGTGAGGCTGGGTTGTTCTGGTCAGTCTTGCTATTATGTACTTTCAAATTGTAGCACTGTTTCTGTCTTTTAAATGCATGTGATAAGCCTCCTGAATACAACGTTATTTTCTGTTAATTTTTTGGTTATGGAAGACTGAAGATGTTAATCCCTGCTCCCCAATACTTCATCCTCAACCATTTTGAGAAATGTGCTGAACATCAATCTCACCGGATGTACAAAATCCAATTATGGTTCTGATTTGCAAATCAGGCTTTTCCACAACTGACCAGCTCAGTACTTGCTAAGCTGGAAGAGCCAGAAAGGATGAAGGCACTAGTTTGAGTGTTCTGAATCTGTACCAGACAGATGCAACGAAAAAAAAAATGAAAAAAAAAAACTGAATTTTTGTTTCTTGGATGCTCAAGTATCTCTTCCCTGGTGGCTGACCCAGGCAGCTACACAGATTGTATCAGCAGCACCCACGCCCAGATCGATTACCCACACACGGTGAGCCATCTGCTTTCAGGTGACCACAACACATACCATGTTGTTTGGCTGGTACACCCACTGCATACAGGATATTAAAAAAAAAAAATATGTTTGCACTGCCAGAAAGCAATGGCACAGCAAAACATTAATTGCTTATTGTTTTTGGAGAGGTAAGGAAAAGTTAAACATACCAACTGCACTTGAGATACACCCATTTGTCAGAGGAGTAAAGGAAAGAACGTAAAGGCACAACATACTTCTACACTCCTGTCATTAAGGCCATATATTGGTGTGCAACAACGCTTCACAGGGCTAACCATACACAAATACAGGTCTAAGTCACACCCCCAAAGCTGTTTCAAGCAAGAACTCTTTTCTCGTGCAACTTCAGACTCTGTTGTTTACATTATGGTTTTTTGTTTCTTTTTTTTTGTTTTGTTTTGTTTTTGTTTTGTTTTGTCAGGCAGAATGTAGGCTCTCTATCCAGTTTCAATGATCTGTTCTTCATTGTGTTTTCTTTCATTTAGTTCTCCAGAAGTGTTCGCTGCACTAAAAAGTGAAAAACAACTCAAGATTAGTGCCTGAAATTAGTAAACATTGTAAGTTATGTATTACTATGTAACAGTACATGCGGACAACAGACTTTTCCAGTAGGCATTTGAAACTGTGGGATAAATTCAGGTAAGCAGAGGCTTGATTCTGTGAAGCCAGTACCCTGCATAGCAAGGGATATTACACCCTGGATTTCTCACTCAAATAACCATATCCTACTAGATCCATGCAGCATAATCCAACATGCAGTTTCAGACTTGCAGTTCTGCAGATGCAAAAATGGAGTACAGCCTGACATAACTGATAGAAAAAGTGGGGTTTTGAAACAAAGAGCTAGCCTAGGTTATCTACCTTTTCAGGAAGTCAAAGATAAGTCTACATAAAATTTAAAAAATGCAAACCTATTCTGCCATGCTGTCTGACCCAGCTTAATGCAAGACTGATTCTAACTAGGAGCCATGTAGGTCCATTAACACTGTATGACCAAAAGCAGAGCTAATGCCTGCTGATTCCTAGAATTGAGATCAGGAGTAGCACCATGCCAGCCATGGTTGCCCGGTTTCTTGGCTCAAAACATGCTCATGCTTGCCTGCAAAATATAATAGAGGTATGAAATCTGGGATGCAGTGGGACATCAATAGGTAGGCAGGAATAATCATTTACGATAACTTCCCAAGTTTGATTTTATTGGTTAAAATAAAGTATCCATTATCTGATGCATTTCACACCGCAGTTCTGGTGAATCTTGGCCAGAATTTTAGTATATCCTGACTCCAACTCCTATGTTAACTGGTAGAGGTCTTTGATCAATACTGCTTGCTTCACTAATGCGCAGCTGAATTGAGGATATCTGCCTATCTCCAGTTTGGACTTCAACAGCCAGTCACAAGAAAATGTTTTCTCCTTGAGAGTTTTATGTATTTAACAGCTTAAAGGAAAAATGTCTATAAAGAGGATCATGAGCCAGAAGGAAGTTTTTAGCAAACTGATGAAACACCCGAGAAAAATACAGTATGATTTTTTTTTTTTTTTTTAAGTATAAAAAACCAGAACTAGTTCTGCGGGTTTTAGATTAAGCCCACAGAAGAATATACTGCAAATTTATACTGCTTTGGGAATTTAACATTCAGTGTTTCAAAGACACTCAACAAATTTCAGCATGAGGTTGCACTGCTTCTTCCTTTGTTGACCTGTCACAAGGGCTAGAAGGGCAAGTTTTCCCCTATACTGTTTCCTCCAGATCTCTCCATGGCTTTCCTGGAGTTAACCACCTGTTCCATCAGCCAAGTACCCTAGACAACCACACCAAGAAGAGTGAGGTCGTGAGGGCTTTTGTTGCTTTAAGAGATCCTTCCACAGCTGTCACCATTGTAGAAAGGTTTATTATTTGATGATTCTTTCATACAAGAATCATTCTCTCTTCACAACAGAGAATGTTTTGGTTACAATAACATGCTAGTAAGTTCAGTCCTCCTTCCCTCCAGTGTAGTTTCATCTCTGCCCAAACACTATTAACATGTTTTAATATACATTCTCGCAGATTTCTATATGGGTTTACAATCAAAAAAAGGTATCAGATTCCAACCAGACACAACATACACTAATAAAACACCTGCCAGCTAATTGCTGTTATGTATCATACTGAAGGAGCAGGCTTCTGTTTTAATAAATTCTCTTCAATAATACTTTCGCAGAGAAAATCCAATTCTTTACTTTCTCTAAGCTCCTGCATTTCAAGGACTCCTCAAGGTAATAAACCAATCTGTCCAAAGAATAAAAAACTGGAGAAGAGTGGCCATATTATCAGAACTGAAATCTTGAATCAGTTCTGAATTAATTGTCATGAGAATTACAAACATTTTTTTTTTTAAAACAAATTGAAAACAAAACAGTGTAATTTTCTCCACTAAGATAGGTATCAATAACGTGTATTTAATTGGATCTCCAGCAAAAAGTTGATCTTCTATCTAGGTTCTCCTCTTACCAGGTGGCTCAGATTGTGCTCCCCGATGGCTGTCCATATTCACATTCTCTTCATCTGCTGGGGAACAAACAGATGTTTATCATTCAGATTTTATTATCTTCAAAGTTGTTGATTAATAGAGAGAATTTGAAAGAAGAAACGGCACTGAAGAAACTGGGCTACTGATAACAGTTGAGTTGCCCACGTGTTGCCTGCATGTTAATTTGAATGTGCATGGGAGGTGTTACTCAGTTCCCAGACTTCCCAAATTACAAAACCTAAGTGCCAGGCCGGATGGCTGTTCTACCATCTCTCTTTACCAACCGGTCAGAATGACTGGAAAGGACAAAACCAAAGCTTCTGCCCCCCCTATCACCCACAGTACTCCTGAAATTCTCTGATCCAAATTATATCTTATTTAGGTAGAAAGGAAGCAGATGAAATGCAATAGACAACTGCAGAAGAAAGAATTATTTGGGGATGAACATTTGGGTAGTTGTCAGAAAACTAATATGTAGAGTGTCTTGTGAAGACACAAAGGCAAGATTTATAAAATTAGAAATGACAAAGTATTTTTCATCATGAAAATAGTCTCTAATCCCCAACTCCACTCAACTTTCCTTAAAGAAATGTCTTCTTGCAGACTCTCCTGCTTACTCTTTAGCAGGAAGTGCTTTTATTTTAAGAAATGCAAAGCCTTAAGTCTGTCTGCTTCTGAAAGTCTAAATTTTGGGCAAGGCATTTTTCGGACACCCTGTCTTAGATGACTAGTAAGAGTGGTTACCCTCTGTGAGCACAAATTCACTGTGCTATTAAGGCTGTCTTATGCGTAAGATCAATTTCTAGCCGCCACGTAAAACAAGACTAATTTAGAATTCTTACCGCTTTGTTTGAAACAGAGTTTCTTCTTCTGATAAGCAATGAAACTAGATACTGCTCCAATTACAGTAGCAACCACAGCACTTACAATTCCAGCTATTGCTCCCTGAGAATCTGTGAAAAAAAAAAAAAAAAAAAATGAGGCTTGTTTCCTTTTTTCATTATTACAAGCAACATCAAAATTGTATTGTCTCAAAGTGATCCCTGTGAACACTTCCAAAAACCAATAAACTGAAATTATTGCATGAAACTGTAGTAATCAACTGTCTCAGTGAATAATGAAAAGTGAATCCTCAAATTTTATAACCATTGATTTCTTAGCAATGCCGGTTGTTAAGCAACTTAAGCATGCCTGTTGTAAATTCCGCTAATTAAAAAAACTACCTTTTCATAGCCAAATCTAAATTGTATGTATGCAATCACTGCACCAGCATCTCTGAGACCTTGGCACTTTTGAGTCATTTGCAACATAGAGATTTTAAAGAATTATGAAAGCAGAGCTTGAAAGTAAGAATTCTAGACTCCACAGAAGGTTTTAAGCTGAAACCCACTACCAGAACTGACCGCTCTAGCAGAATATTAGCAATACAGAAAAACCCAGAAAACAAGCTTCAGACATGAAGACACCACCATACACATAAATTTATGTACTTACCATCAGTTGCTTTGCCATTATTTGGACTTGGGCCCTTTCGTTCTGTAAAAATGAACAGAAGGTTTAGATTTTACATGTCTAAAAAACCAGTCATATCATAATTGACAACCTTTTCGTCAGTTAATCATGCAAAATTACAAACCATCTATTATATCCATATAATACTAAGTTCTGGCACTCAAAATTTCTGTTTTCAAAGCACAGCTCGTGGTAGTGTCAACTTCAGCCTTGGGTGCTCAGCACTTCTACAAAATGAGCACAGCACACCTGTGAATTCTGGTTTAATTAATTCGCTCACCACCACCAAATACCCAGTGGAGAGGAACAGCATATAATTTCAGGGTAGCGTTCAACTGTATTCTCATGAAACCAGCTACCTTTTCCTAAAATCCCAGCTGAATTTACTAAATGCCTTCGCAATTCTCTTAGCAAACAAGGCAGAAGTTCTGTAATTACTATCCTTATTTGTCATTGTGCAAGTTGTACCACTGAAGCAGGAATCCGTGCAGACGAAAACACCGCACAACTCTCAACAGATGCTTCTTGCACCTGTCAATTTTTGAGTTACTGCCTCAAAGGAACCTTAGAAGGTGAAAGCTTCCCCAAAAATTCGCATCGGTAATCTCTGTCTAGGGCAACTCTCTGAATAAGTCAGTAACCAGAGGCATCTCTCAACACCACATCAAGGTACTTAAGCTAACTCTGATCTGGAAATAGCAGAGTTGCAGTAATGCACGCAGGGATGACTAAACCCATTGTAATGATGACCATTACTGAAGCTTGGCCCCAGTGACCATCTCTGCACCGAGCAGCGTCGTAACAATTAGACATGGCAGATTAATCAAAGAGTCTGGTAAGCTATGAAATGGTTTTATACTGCTCAGGGTAGATACACCCTACGTCACTTGGAAGTCTAAGGATTAGTTCATCCTGTGGGACATGAAATCTTTGCGAACACATGGCGAACTCTCTTCTGGCCCACCCCTAGGCTTCCTAAAATAAAGAGCTGAAAGAAACTTAGAGTATGTCGTGGAAGATCTGAAAATAACACCTGAATGCCTTTAAGAGCTATATTTGCAGTGAATTTTGAAATAAGTTTCACATTCACATCCATGTTTAAACCCTGTCTTTCTTAGCACAGCAGTAAAAATCACTGAAGGCTTTACCTCTAGACAAGTTTTATTTCTTAATTATCTAGGCGTTTTTGGCAGAGACAGAACACATTGCTTTTGAACTGGAAGGTGTGCTCTTAAATTCCAGATACCAGAACTGCAGGTGTTACACTTTAGACCATGTTAACCAGCTTATGAGCAAGCTTTTATCAAAAGCTCAGGTAGCCATAGAATCAACACAAAGCACAACCTACTGTCTTACCATTGCTGCCACTACCATCACCTCCTCCTTTTGGTAAATTGTCATTGTACAGATCTGAATCATCAAGGTTGCCTATAAAAAATAATATTATCTTACATGTTTTAAGTTCAGTGAAAAAACCACCTCAAGGCATATAATGACATGGAAGTTTCCTCTAGATCGTTCAGCTGAGTTCACGGTGGTTTTAGGCTCAGCATCTTAGTCACAACATGTTCACGTTTCAAAAGGCCCCCTAATCTCAAGCCCTTTCAGCTCTGTGCTATACAGTTTGATAGCAGCACTGCTTCCTCTGGACTTCCTGAACAACTGAGAGAAGTCAGTGTCCACGAGCAGGTAGTACTGCACAAGTCATAGGCTAAGAAAGCAAGAAACCCTGTAAGCTACTTAACTGGAACAGCCCAAGTCTCATTATCCTGTTAAAGCAGAGAAAGGACACGGACAGGAAAGGACTATTTCTTTTGAAAGCTGCAGCTGTGAATGTTTCTGCAGAGTTGGGTTTCTAAATCACAACTAGTCTTTTGCACCTTATAACACAGCAGCTAGAGGAAAAAAAAATTGTTCAGCATGCCACAGACCAGTGGCTGCAGTATTTGCATGACAATGGGAAAATCAAAATGTAATTCCCTCACATCGAACCAGTCCCTCTGCATTTCCACTGCACCCTACCTCATGGGGCCTGAGTTCTCCTCCTTCCCTCTGCTGCCAAATGAAATGAATCTTTAGTTTTTGCAAAGCAAGTCTGTTTCAAGCACCAAAACTAAAAGCATTGCATCAGAAGATGTTTTAGCTGAGTGCCAAAAACACTGTACTGAAGCATGCAAGACTTGAATTCAAATATCTGCTGTGAATCAGGCAGGGAAAGGAAGAAGAACCAGGGCTTGCATTCCAGGTAAGGACTCTCTACCACCACATTCATGGATAATGACATCATCACAGCTGCATCCATGTGAATCTGTCTTGCTCTGAGTCAAAGACAGAGAAGACCTCTAAAGCACAATAAGCAGGGAAGGACATGTATTTTAAGCCTACCTTTCAAACACAAAAGAATTGTATTTCTTAAATGAGCCTTTAAAAAAAAAATCCTAAAAAACCCCCAACCCTTTAACTTTGAGCTTTACCTCTAATTTAGATGCTTTAAGAATACAGATCAGATAGTTTCTACTTACTTTTCAGTCCGAGTAGCAGGGATTCAGTGTGTAAAGGTGAAAGGACTCATCCAATACACAGGTGGCTCCACCAGCCAAGAACAGCATTGCCCCAAGCACACACACTCTGTTCCATCCTTCCTCCTCCCCACATCATCCCACTTTTAAGTGAAAGTGACTCGACAGGTTTGTTATGGAGTTTCAAGACTTCTGCAAAGCTTATTTGCAAGACAGCTTTTCCTCAGTCCTCAGCGTTTATCCAGTGCAACATCTGACATACATAACAGCCAATTCACAAGGACTAGTTATAAGAACTTTAACTGAGATTCTAAAACCATGACACAATTCACGAGTTTGTGCTAGAAGCCTTACCAGTGTCTTTAGGATGTGCAGGCGGACCTGGCTTGGGGTTATCTACACACAAAAGAGAGATATAGAAAAAAAAAAAGAAAAAGTTTACGATATCAAAAGTGAGCTACAATACAGTGATGTTGAAAGGGACTGGGAAAGATTAACAAATACTTTTCTACTGTTCAGAAATTCCTGTTAGGTCAGTCTTACCAGTGTCTCTAGGATTTGATGGTGGACCTGGCTTGGGATCATCTGTAGACAAACAGAGATAAAGTGAGCAAAGTTATTAGCGTGAAGAGACCAAAACCAGAGTGACCTTGAATGACTATCTGACCTAAAAAACGCTATCAAATCTTCTCCATATCAGTTTCCTTTCATTTGCTAACGCTGTATTTGTTTATTTTAAACACTAATGCAATTAACAGTGTCTCTGCTACATTAACCTGTACGTCAGACCCTTGCTATAACAACATATATAGGAGAACTCATGAAGTGTTATGCAGCATTTTAGTTTGCACATCTGATTTCAAATGCTGAACTTCCTTAAATTTTTCTACCAGGTACAGATTACTTGGCTGTTTCTTCTTTTAAAACTACCAGATTTTAACCAACGGTAAGGGTTGGTATCTCGCTTCAGGGAAAAAAAAAAAAAAAAAAAAGAAAAAAAAAGGACAAGATACACACAGCAGAACTAGAAATACGGTCCCCACAATGACACTTCATTTAGCTTGCCACGAAACAGAAGAATAAGAGATCATAGTAATTATCTCTATACTGTTTGTTCACAGTCTTTGTTGCCCAAATCAGATTAACACACCAGCAGTGGTTTTCTAAAACTGTTTTCACCAACAGCTGATCCCGTCTAGTGGCCCATTTCTTCTGTATGCTACTTCCCCTTGATGTTTCATGGTCTTGCCTCCTCCCAGATCAGCTCTAGCACATCTCAGATCAGGTCTCCTTAGGCTCTCTGTGTATTCACAGTAAAGAGGCAGGCACCTCCAGAGTACAGTTCTAAGACCCCAACTTAGGCTTGCCATCCTATAAAGGATCCTCTCTCTTCACTCACCTGAACCATCCAATTCATTCAACCAACTGTTTCTTAATTAGTCAACTCTGTTTTCAAAATTGTCAGCAGTTGGAAACAGATTGCATTAAGAGAGACAAAACTTCAAAGGGCTAAATTAAACAGAGCTGCCAACAGTGCTACTGTCCTGCAGCTGTAGGCCCTGTGTTAGGAAAGCTGTCTGTACTGCAACAGTTCTAGTGACAGTACTCAAAAAGCTACAGTGCATTATCTGCCTCACTGGATGTACTTTCTACTGGTTGAGTGAAAAGAATCCTGCAATTTCTACTGCTGCCCACACTGCAGAACTGCATTAGAAAGAGCACCTTTCTTCATATTATTTCAAACAATTTGAAGTTTCCTTATGCCACTAAAATTATTTCCTGGATAGAAAGAGATTACTTCAGATTTAAAAACTACTTCCATATGTAATACCTGATGGAATTAGTGCCATCTAGTGAAGACACAGCAATGAAACAAGTAGGGCTTGGCTAAGTTATTAGTGAAATACATACAGTTTTTCTGGTCCAGACCCTTAAAAATTAAGGTAAATAAACATAACTAGACTGCAATGACTTTTGCCTGAAGTCTCTTACCTTAATCAACTCGGTGCCCTTACTACATTTAGGTAATAAAGGATGGATAGACATTGCATGAAGTATACTGAGCAGTATCTAGGAAAACATGATACGTACCAGGCAGAAGAGCATGCTCCAAGTCTAAATCATCTATGAAGAAAGAAGGGAAATTTAAATGTAATGTAAAAACTGAAGTAGTTTTAGACTATTTTTTACACAAAATGCACCCCACAATGTTTTCACCAAGAACATAACGACATGCTCCTTCAACAGTGGCCCACAGAAGAGCACCACAGAGTTACCAGGCATTATCTGCCAAACTACACGCTGCTTTTGGTGATCACGGTACATGCCAAGGGCCAGCTCAAGGTGAGCAAGCTCAAAACATGCAGATTGAAAGCCAACAGAAGGGATTCTCACAGGGTCTTTAAGCTTGTGAAATCGCAATGTAAATTTGTGAAAGCACTAGCAGAAGGCTCCAAAATGCAGAAATCCTTTTTCTGTTAGGCAACTGCTTTGTTTTATAGAAATACCACAACTCTGTGTGCCACTAAATTGAAAAATTCAGGCTCTCAAATTACTATGTACAACTACACTTCTCTTCACAGTAAAAGGCATTACAAGCCAATTAGATCTCACCGTAATCTGGTGGTGGTGGCGGCTTCTGAGATGGAGGAGGCCTCCTTGTAGTTTCTGTCATGGATGGTTAGAAAAAAAGAAGTTTAAATACTATTTAATACGCTGTTCAGAAGATACATGAAGGACAAATGTAAGCCTATGTCTATACAGTGAAAAGCACAAGATCAAGTCTATACAGCATAACATTTTCCCCTTAAGAGGAATCCCTGAGTGTTCCCAAAGATAAATTTCAGTTCTATGTGGTCAACATTTTGACATACCCATAGCTGAATTGTTCCACTGAGGTTTAAACAAACCATATGTGGGGAAGGTGTCATGCTTGGTCATACAGGGAATACTCAGAGACGAACAAGTCCAAAGGGCCTACCTCCCGCCTACCTCCTAGAATTTTCAAGACTGTAATAATTACCAAGTGCATCTCCTAAATCGAAGTCCCCAAAATTGCCTGTAGAAGAGAAAAGCAACTGTAAGTACACTCTTTTTTTGATACTCAAAACCAACACATTACAGTCATAAACACGTCTTTGATCTATCTTGAGGTATGTTTTTTGCTTCCTGCACCAGAGTAGAAGAGTATTTTGAGTCAGGGATGAAGACAAACATTCTTCTCTGTTTCTCCAGACCACTATCCAGATGTCTCTTTGGAAAAAAAAAAAGGAACAGAACTAAAAACTGTCTCTATGGAAAGCATCTAGAGGGCCAGAACATGTATTCTTACAGTCAATATAATTCATGCAATCCTTTATTCCTGACACTGCTATTGCATGTTTTTTTTTAGTGCCATCCGCAGCATATTCTTTCCCAGCCTTCTTTTCACTGAACCACAAAATGAGCAGGGGCACAGCTCCAATTCACAAGAATTTACAAGATTCAAGTGTGAAGAACCACCTTGGAGCACAAAGGCCGGTATGAATGTTATATGATTGGTTAGTGGATTTAATACCTTGGCATTAAAAAGTAATTTTCATGGGTTTATAAGACTTATCTTTTCCCCTAACAAAGGTTGACAGTATGAAGGTGGTTAAGTTATTAGCACAGATGATCTTGAGCAGTCTCCTCAACTTCCTAAAAGACAGATAAATGCAACTGTCACCACTATGGGCTCTCCACTCCAGGTAGATTAAGTTTAATTTTCAGCCCTCAGCAAACAAACATTCTCTCTTGCCGTATTAGGTCAGTTGCTGGAGCTACTGCTGCTTACCTAGCCGACTGCAAACACACTAACTCACTATATTAATGATACAAACTGGTTTCACAGCATGAATACAGTAGTGTGATCTCAGCAGCAGAGGCTTGTAAGATAAATGGACAGCTAAAACAACTGCTTGGGATATTTCTCATAGTTCATCATTCCTACTTTCACTGAAGCATGGAAAAAGAAAAAAGGCATGAAAGTAGATACCAGCTATTCAAGAGAAAGATGTCCAGATATACTGCTCCAGCCCCAAAGAAGGTGGAAGACTTTTTCTATCTACTGACTATTAAGCCAGACAGAGCAAAACTTAATGCCAGCCAGAGCTACCTTAATTCAGAAGATAAATGCATAAAGCATTGATGTGTCTGACTTTTCCTTTGAGAACGTAGCTGCAGAAGAAGAATAAGAATTGGCTACTGCAAAGTCTGAAGATAGGAATAAAAAACAAACACCAAAAATCAAACCACAAGCAAAATGTTCCTTCTGCTTAGATGACAGGCCAAGTTAAGACAAGGACAAGTCACAGGTCTATTACAAGGAATGGCAGATGCTCATCTACTTGGTGACATCTTTCATCTCAACTGAGGGCAGAATTGAAATCTCTTTTCCTTCTCAGACAACTGCACTAATAATGCCTTTTTTTTTTTTTTCCTGAGAAGAAATGAGACTAAGACACATTTTTATTTTTTTAATATGGAAGCAAGGAACACCAACTGGCATTGGAAAAAAAAAAAAAAAAAAAAAAATCAAAGGCAAGCTTGCAGTTTCCTGAAAACATCCTTCAAGCTAGTCTTCAGTCTGGTCAACTAAACTGTTACAGCAGAAACTGAAATCTGAAGTCTAAGCAGTGATTCCCACACCGTAACATTCAAACTGAGTACCACCTTGCTCACGGCCAAGTAGGGAGGTAGCACTGCCTGGTCTGTGACAGGCCTTTTCATGGAAACAGAGGAAATTCATGGCTTTAATGTGGTGCATGATCAAAGTGCATTTAGAATGTCCTGGATAAAGTAATTAGATATAGATCCTGGATAGAAAGCAAGAAGATATTTTAGTTGGTGTTCTTCACTCCAGGTGAAGATCATAAGCTCTTTTAGATACTTAGCTCATAAAAAACTGTTTCACAGAATGCAAAATATTTGTGGGTTATCTGAAGCCTACATCATCTTGCAATACAATCTTAAAAATCTCAGTAAAATGAGCAGCTGCTAAAACCCAAATCTCAGTTATCTCTAAAGGTACCCCCTTTGTTTAGACTACACCAAGAAAACTCCATATTAACAGGCAAGAAAGGTCAAAACACTCAAGAGAAATTGAAACAGGTATTTGCATAGTTAGTCTACAAACTTGAATTCTGGTTGGTTTGTTTTCTTAAGTACATACATCTCTTAGGCTACAGTTCTCCAGGGAGGATTTCCTAAGACAGGACCTGATCAGATATTTGCTGGTCTAACTCTAAGAAGGCAGGTAGGAGGATCTGTTGAAGATGCATGCTCCTCAAAACACTCTACCAGAGTAGCAACCAGAGGATGGACCACCACCATCTGTTAACACCATCTGTCTCAAGGTTAAAAGATATATCACCAAGTCAATGAGTGTTACATTGGTGGGTATATTTCAAGAGCACTACTTATTTTTAGAAGGAGTGGCAGAAGGAAAAACAAGCACATATATTCAACATTATGCTTTGGTGCAGCTCAAGTTTTACTTCGAGCAGAAAAGAGGCTATCTGAAGAGTTTCCCACTGCCACCACGAAACTTAGTCCAAGAACTCTGAATGGTTCCAGCTGCAGTGGTTTCCCTCAAGAGGATGAAACCAGTGTAAAAAAGTGTGCATTCAGTGACACTATTTTAAGGGACTGTTTTCACACATAATCTTAATGAAGAAATAATTTAGGAAGAGACTGCTGACTGCAAATTTCACATAAGACATGCTTTGAGAGAGCAACAAACAAATTTGAGGGTTAACAGAAAAAAAAAAAAGTTCTGTATTGATGAATTGTTCAGTATTCTGCAACCACAATTCTGTTTTCCAAGCATGCAGCAAGATGTCAGGCTATTCAAACACAATACTTTATCTCAGTAAAGTAGGAGAAAATGTCAAAACCTCGTTGATGAAACTCATTGCAATAATCTGCACTCTGAAGTGCTGGTAGTCTGCTTTATCAGCAAAGACTGGGTGTTTCTTCACTGTTCATGACAGACTTTCATATGTCTTTACAGCACTTGCTTTTACTCTCTCAGCTTTTAGTATGGAGCTTATAATTACTCAGCCCAAAAGGAGAGAGCCTCAGTACCAGGGATTCAGCTGGTTTCAGGGAAGAAACAATCAGAGATAAAACTACAGAACTAGAATAAAGGTAGTAGCAGGATCCAAGAAGCAAGTCACCAAGAATATGCTGCACTCTCTAAAGGTTTAAGGATCACCCAGAGTAACTGAGCTTATGAGCACATTCATACTCTAAGCAAAGATAATTGCAAATAAAGCAGATAATACTGTGTATAAAGCACGATACAACAGGTATTTTGAGCTCCTAGGGTCATGAGCAGATTCAGGAACATTTCAGAAGTGCCTATGCTATTTTCCTTCCATGTCTGTAGCTCAAATACCAGGATATGAAGAGACAGATCTTCAGCAGGCTATCCCCAGTAACCTGCATCGTTTGTCAGATGAGGGGAAAAAAAACAGCAAGTAAAACAAAAGAGCAAACAGGCTTTTGAAAAGCTGATGAGCTAGAGGGTATTCAAGAGACCCAAGTAACTACACCAATATGAGTCCTTTGCAAAGACCCATCACCACTCTCAGATACTTACTGCTATGGTATTACATTAGTCATATTTACATTCCACTACAGAAGCCAACACGAGCTTTGGAAAGTTCCTCCGTTAGTCACGTGTATGGCGACACACCAGGAAAGGAGACTTGTGATGAGTCACCACAAACATAACTTTCTGACTTGAGCAAGACACTGCTTGAATTTCGTTTTTCTAAAAATGCTGGTGCTCTCCTCCCTTCCTCCCTCCTTGTTCCCTTCCCATTCCCCCCTCCCTCCTTCCCTAGTGCCCTGCACACCACAGGGAGCCACAGAGCCTGCTCGATGAAGCTGGTCTTCCAGTTGTAGAGCCTACAGACCAGGTGACAGCGGTCAGATTGGTCCTGTCCCGCTGCTGGATGTTATCTGCCACTCCGTCAGTGGCTGACTAACAATCATAATATCATAGAATATCTCATGTTGGAAGGGACCCGTAAGGATCATCAATTCCAACTCCTTCCTCCACACAGAACTACCTAAAACTGAACCATATGACTAAGAGCGTCATCCAGACACACCTTGAACTCTGATGTGCTTCCTGCTGTGACCACTTCCCTGGGGAGCCTGTTCCACTGACCAACCACCCTCTCAGTGAAGAGTTTTTTCCTAATGTCCAGTCTAAACTTCCCCTGATGCAGCTTCATTCCATTTCCTTGTGTCCTATCACTGGTAACCAGAGAGAGATCAGCACCTCCCCTTCTGCTGCCCCCCTTGAGGAAGTTGTAGACAGCAATGAGGTCACCTCTCAGCCTTCTCTTCTCCAAACTGAACAAACCAGGTGACCTCAGCCGCTCCTCGTAAGTCTTGCCCTCAACGCTTTTTGCCATCTTGGTCACTCTCCTCTGGACACCCTCTAATAGTTTCATAGAATCTTAGAATCATTTAGGTTTGAGAAGACCCTTAAGATCATCGAGTCCAACCACCTTATGTCCTTACATTTAGGCACCTAAAACTGCACACAGTACTCAAGGTAGGCCCCACCACTGCACTGTAGGGTGGGACCATCACCACCCTTGTGCTGTGCTTGATGTACCCCAGGACACAGTTGGCCCTTTTGGCTCCCAGAGCACACCGTTGACTCATGTTCAACTTGCCATCAACCCAACCCCCCAGATCTCTTTCTGCAGGGCTGCTCTCCAGCCTCTTGTCCCCCAGTTCATATTGTATAACCAGGATTATCCCATCCCAGGTGCAGAAGCCAGCCCTTGCTCTTGTTACATTCCATACGGTTGGTGATTGCTCAACTTGGGTCTGTCCTGCTGCCTAGCTGCTCATTTTCATGAAATCTGCATAAATCTTGAGCTCGAAGAGGCCTAAACTCTTGTAGAATTTACATGAGGTTTGGCAGCCCTCTTGGGGGACGAGGATGCTGAGAGCCGCAAGGGCATAAACTCTTGGGCAGATGACTGAAAAGCAGCTTCTTCAACTTCCAGCAGCGAAACTGGATTTTACAGTCCTGTGTCTTGTGCTCCTTCCCCCCGAGGGCCTGAAAACACAAGCCAAGCAGCAGATATATTCAACAGCTAACCATAACAGAGGCTACAGAAAATACAGGAGGCCAACATATTCAAAGTGTTTCATGAACAAGTTTCAATAACAGCAAATCCATCACATCCCTTATAATTGCTTTTTAAGCTTATCAGCACTCGATTTCAATCCAGGTTTTGCCCCACCAGCATTAGTTATCTACAATAAAAGACTTCTACTGCTCAGCTCACATTCTGACAGTTATTGTCCAACATGTCCTAAGCAGGCAAAACCAAGAGGAGCAATTTCATCACAAAAAAACCTGGGAGAAAGATGACTTGGCTCTCCATACCTTGCTGTAAGAACTGCCTTTCTAAAGTTTTAAATGGAGAGCCTGGAACATGAAAACCAGTCGCTGCGAGTGGATGAATGTACTTAAAACTGTACTTCTCCACTCAGCCAGGGCAGAGGTTTACAGGCAAGATCCCTCTGTGTCAGGCAATGCAGATGGGATGTTTACTCCCCACTGCCAAACAGCAGTTTATAATTAGCCCTGCCTGGAGTCTCATGAAATTAAATCCCACACAGTTGGTTTCAAACCCTGTTCCTCCTACAAGTACCCACCTATAGATGCTGCTTTTCAAATTTACTTTCTCTGCAGAGCAAGAGAAAACAAAAAACTTTCCGTAAGATTTCTGTTTAGAAGCTTGAAGCCCCTTCCTGCCTAAAATAAATATGGCCCCAAAACAAATAACAACTCTAAATCAGCCAAAATACAAAGATAATTTTTTACATCTGTGGAGTGTCTGCTTTCTGCACATCTGGAGTGTTCACTGATGTATCTGATGGGAATAAAGTCAGCTAAGCCTCTGCTGTAAACAAAAAAAAAGTATTTATTTCCACTTCAAAAAGATGCATAAGACTATCCTAATAACTATCATACTTAATTTTTGTACAGCGATCCAAAAGCTTCTTCCCTGAAAAGTTACTTTATTTGCACCAACCTTGAAAATACAGTACAGGAAGTTATTTGTTAAGCAACTATGTGGCCTAATCTCTTTCTGGTCTGACTGCTAGAAAATAGTTTTTACACTAATCTGTGATCTATTTTAATATTTGAATTACTAACTATTCCTTCCATTCAAAAATGGCAATTTAATATTTTAGAAAGGTCAACAAGGTCACATTCTTACTCAAAACTATTTGATTAAATAAGTGTAGTCATGTGAGGGTTTTTTAACAGAACGTGGTAAAACAAGCCATTTACTGGGGAAGAAAAACTCGTACTTTGAAGCACAATTTGGGGATTTTGCTTGTCTAAAAGCCTCCCATGCACTGGGCAACTTTTGTTGCCACTTTGAACTGTAGAAAGTAGGTAAGTACAATGTGGCTCTAAACATTAGCTATAAGCACAGTTTTCCAGGGAGGATTTGATACAGGAATAAGAGGACAGAATGAATAGCTCTAAATCAGCAGAAAGGATACAGAAGTACCAAGTCAACCACCGAGCTAGAGAATTAACATGATGGCAACACTCCTGCCAAATGCTGAGCCGCTTGTCCAGAAACGAGGAGTAAAAGAGAACTACGCAATAATTACAAAAGTTCTAATAACTCCTCTGAGTCCCTTCAATTAAACAGTGAAAATAAAAGCAAACGTTTGGCATCTTAATCACAACTCGTCCACTGACGAGTTGTCTACCACAGTCCACTTGTTTTCTTACCGTTTGCAATTCTGCATGTCCACAACTGAGGTGATCTCTTTCCCTCCAAGCAATGGTTTGGACTCTTGGTGATTCTCTTCTGGTTACAACCCTCAGCGTCAAACCAACATCAAACGGCAAAGCTACAGGTCCCAGATCTCCTCAAACTTGAGAGAGCTTTCAAAGCACTGTCACTAACAGCACCTTGGAAACAGCTAAAATATTTTCTGTGCTTCAGGGAAAGTTGTTTCTTGCAGAGAGTACCTTCCCCACATACTCAAAATTTTCAAAACCTGGCTGAGCACGGTCCTGGGCAACCTGCAGTAGCTGACCCTGCTGGAACAGGGGGTGGGACTGGAAGGTCTCCAGAGATGTCTTCCTGGCTCAGCACCCTGTGGTTCTGTGATTTGGGCCAACTGTTGTCACTGGAATAAACTCCTTGTGCTACAAAACTCATATAACTACAAATAAAAGAAATCATGCTGTCCCTCTGCATTTCTTTTTGCAGATGAGAACTGAAATACTGAAACTGAAAAACTGAAACCTAAGCTACACTAACAAAAACTGTTAGAAGAACATTTGGGTGACGGAAGCATGGCACCTGCACCAGAAAGTGACCAGATTAAATCTTGGGGCCACTGGGATAGGAAGTGAGAAGACAGGAAAAGGGTTTTGCAAAATATAGTAAAGGTCCTGAATCATGACGGCAACAAAGAAAAAGATAAAGGACATATTTACTTGATTTTGGCTCATTTCTTCTTACCTGTAACTTCAGGAGGGCCTGACCATGCTTCAAGACTGCAAATGTTCTATCCTGTGCTTATTGATATTTAACTTAAGTACTTGGCCTTACTGAACAAATGCATTACTAAAATTAGTGAGTGTTTTAATAAAGTATTTTCTAGAAAGCAAATACTAAGTTTCCTTTCATGTAAAGTCAAGGACTTGGGCAAAATACAACTGGCAGACAGAAGCATTGTTGTCTGCATTCATGTGCAGCATACCCTTGACAAAGGCTGCAGGTGTTTGATTAAATATTGCCAAGGCTTCCATTGTTTGAAGCCTGCGTGTTGGTCCTTGTACCTGCAAGTGCCAGACACACTGAAATTTTCAACAGTCTAGTAACTGGTCTTGAGTTCTCGGTACTCTTCCTCATAGCAACCCTAAACCACGGACACATTACCCTGTGCATTAAGCATGAAGTTACTTGATGTCAGCCACGCCACCCTTGGGGCCACTGCTCCCACTGCCCGCTCTGGTGCTAACAGAGCGCCTGCAGAAGCCAGACCCCTCCTTCTGCCCCTGGGGCAGGCAAGGAGTAACCCAGGTCTTGGGTGCCAGCACAATCACCATTCCCCCAGGGGGGGCCCACAGAGCAGGCGCAACGGGCCAAGACACCTCTGCTCTCCAGCTCTGTCTCTTCAGAAACCTGTGCCAGGGTTGGACTGGGAGCTCTGAGGCAGCCTTAGGAGACCCTGTTCTCGAATCTCACCAAGATCAAGCAGGCACTGTGCACCTACTTTACATTCACTCACTTCTGAAATTCTGTCTTGGCACAAGAAACGTCAGTAGTTAATTTTTTTTATAAGCCTAAGAAACCAAAATCCTTTAAGTACATGTTGCTCATAGTCTACAGCTGCTCAACAGACAGGACTTTAAGCTTTCACAGAGCTGACGAGCCTTGCAGCTACTACTCACATAACCTAAATTTCATCATAACCAGGTGCATTCTTACCCCAAGGCTCACATTTACGCTTGTTATGAAAGTTCCCTTCCCTAACTATTATATCAATCAGCCTTTATAGTATGAAATTATATTAACTTTGTTAATATATTAGTTCACATTATACATTGCAATGTAGTGAGGTAGTGGAATTGTACTGGAGAGTTTGGTATTGTTCATGCTTATGTAAAAGAAACCAAAAGACAGCTCGGCCCTGTAAATAAGGACTTTACTTTTTGAAAGCTTACAGCTGTCCATGAAGGATAAAGGGTACACCCGGGCAACCAAGATAATGCCAGCATCCTAGTCCCTCTAACACCTCTTTGAAACCCTCCCAGCATCAGCTGGCATCATAGGTAAGTAACCGTAGAGACACTGTCTCCAAGGATGTCTGGATCAACAGACAAGCAGCAAGAAAACTGCAGAAATACAGGTGCTTTGGGAAGTTTTACTACTATTAGTAATCAGTAGCATGGCTGTTAGTGATTAGTCAAATCATATTGTAGCTGAATGTTTGAAGGCTACAAGAACTCTGCGTAAAAGCACATTTGTGGTGCCCCAATTTGACTATGGCACCTTATGCACGTGAATAAATATTTACCCTTGGAATTCTGTATTGTGCATCCCAGACTCTCTCCTCCCTCAGCAAGGGCCAGTTGCAAATTTTTGTAACACTCTCTAAAAGTCAAAGTCAGTACGTCAGCACCTCTCCTTCTTCCAGAGTCAAAGAATCTCATTTCTTCTTGAGGATTTCTACACTTACATCTAGCAACAGCTTCAGCAGTTCTTGGCAAGAACCTTTCCGCAGTTGACCAACATCCGTGAAATCTCTTGCTCTGAAGCATGTACTTCAAAACAGTGGGTATATCACAAGCGGTCACAACTGTAATTTCAAAACTGTGGAGCAATATACACATTGATGGCACGAAGATGGACACCAGAGGAGATGATGGGGCTGAGAAGAGGCATGCATTCAAGGTCCTTTGAACATTCAAGTGCTCTTGCCATCACGTACAGATTCATGAACATTAAAGCCTCACTGGGATTGCAACCCAAATTGCAGTCAGCACCAAAAGTTAATAGTTAAATACACTGGAAAGGCTACAATGGTAGTTAATCAAAAGATTATTCTTGAATTTAAGAAAACTGTTTTATCCAAGCAGGTTGCAAACTATTCAGTATTGTATAATTTAATAAAATCATTGGTTCTCCTGAAAGTAACTACAACTGACATCACATAACCTAATGCTGTTTTATCACCAGAAATCTATCTGTACTTCTATTCAGATAATCACATTCTCTCTTTGCACTGAAAACCTCTATATGCACCTGTACAGTACGGTACCCTGCCCAGTCTTCTGCAGAGAAAGGGAGAAGTGTTTTCAGGGCAACTGTGTGATCTCAAGCCATGATTTCAAGGGTTGCATGCTTTTTCTGCTCATCCCAATTCAGTAAAACACTATACACAGTGGTAAAGTGTGTAAAATGATAGACTGGAGGCTTTCCTCACCACCAAACAGCCACGAAACACCAGCATTTTGTTTTGTCTGCATCCTTATTCACTCACACTCTGCACCTCTAGTAGCCTCCTGGATCGGAGCAGGGAGGGATGGCAGAAAGTGCAGTCCCAGAGGGGCTCAGAGGAAAAGGGACATGCAGAAGCAAGGCTCAGCTGCAGAAACGTTAGAGAGGTCTGCACTACATGAAAGACTGTAAAATTTTAGCACAAGGAAGAAGGAAGTACTAAGAAACCAAGATTTGTGATCTGGAAGCCAGTGAAGTAAAAGCTCCAAAAACTCACGTTAGAGTTTACCCTAAATCAAGGAAAAAGAATTTAAATTATAACTTCTGATGAACAAGTAAATGCAACTTGGCCTTCCATTTCAAAATTCCTTCTTTAAAATACAATTTAGTTGAAATATACACTTGCAACAAGCACAGAACTAGGTCAAGGACACTCTAATTTTTACAGCAGTACACCAAAATGATGGCCCATAGCAGGACTGGTTTATGTCTGCTGATACCTGTAAACTGACAATTCACTTCACAGCCTGTTTCTTTTACCTTCCTCACCAGAAGTCTTACCAGTTCAATGCAGTTTGTATATTAATAGCAAAATCCAAACAAAATCTGTAATCTAGTCAGAAACATTAACTGAACAGTAAAATTTACTCAGCTTTTCCAGACTCTTTTTCACTGTGGCTTGTTCAGCTATGGCTAAAAAGATTCTTCAGTCTTTTCAATCTGCATATTTAAAAATAGCTACGGCAGCTTTTGCTAAAAGAAAGAAGAGGAAGACTATGGGTTTTACAATGAGGGTTTCCTGTGGAGAAGGTGGGGTAGAGGAAACCAGACCAAATACAGTGGTTTGCAATGATTCAACTCCTATTTTAATCCATTGCTCTGAGATTGAATCAGTTCTGGCACTAATCAACTCATTTTACAACCAAACCCATTGTTCTGCTCAAACTTGAAACATTGACATGTTTCGGTAGCTTCAGTGACACTTTTTTTCTTACAGGTATTTACTATTAAGGGATTAATTGAGACAGAGTTGCATTAAGTGACAATTCAGTGAGCCAGGATTTCACAGCTTGTGCTCCGCTGCACCACACCAGGATCGGTTTGGAAACATGCAGACTAGCTTCAGCCACAGGACGTGTGATGTGACAGCAGCCTGCTTCTCCGGGCAATCTGGAACACTGCAGGAGAAGGCTTATTTTTTCTGCTTCCACTAACTTTGCATTGTGGATGCAAAATTACTACCTAAAAAATACTTCTGATGGACAGCCATGCACTCAGAAATACTGCATGCACCCAGGCCAGTGTGACTAGTTTGAGTTGCCCAAACCAGACAGATAGAAAACTAAATAGATTAGTTAGAATCCAACTAAGTGGCAGCCACAGATATACAGCAAGCCAGAAATGTGGCATAGGTTTTGTCAGATGAGGGTTTATATTGTGTTTCTCATTTTAAAAAAGATTGGTTTGTTGTTTTTTCTTTTTACTTCCCATTCTTCCTTACGGTTACTTGAGGAACAAGATAAATCTTCCCTTCTGTACCAAGGCTCTGTTCTTAGTAGTTCCAACGTGTTCATGTGCTCAGCAAAACATCTGGAACGCATTCACAGTGAAACCATAAGCATTTCTAGTTCAAGTGCATCTTGTGAAAGTACTTCTATTCTGTTATATTAAGACAAAAACTTTTATCAAGAATTCTCCAGGTCCACCCTAAGAAATAGTTTCACCATCGCCACTCTAATTCTGTATCACCTTCTAACTCAAAATTAGATTTCACATTCCAGTGTTATCGCTTGCAGGCAGTCATCACACATGCCAGACTTCAGCCTGCACTATAAATTTCCTCATTTTGTAGAAAACAAGGGAAAGCAATAGGACTGTACGGAAAAACTGTCCTCAGGACAGGTAAGAATTGCAAGCTGAAGGGACCCATGCCTGGATATGGCACTGGCAGTGGAGACAGTGACAAAGATGCAATGGCAACACCCAAGGGAAAGGAGTAGAAGAAGCAGTGGGCAGGGAAGAGGAAGGAAGAGACAGAGTTGGAGAGGTCTGAATGCAGACGAAGTTGTCAGCTCGCTACAGCCACGAGCTTCAGAATCACAGCTTTTGCCTGAAGTTTTGGGGAAAAAAAGGACAAATCTCTGCTTAGTTAGCACAGTAAAGAGCTGGCCTTTACAGAAGGCCAAAATAGCAAAAAAGGAAAGCCAGAAGTTTTTGTGAGAAAGGGAGGGGTGTGGGAGGGATGTCATAAATCAGATTGCAAACTTGCTGGCTAAAACAAGCAGGGACAGCTCTGATCTGAAGAAGTGATGTCTGTATAACCATCTGCAACATTTGGGGAGGGAGAGGGCAGAGAATAGTTGGTGAAATAACTACTGAATTTGGGATTCAATCGCAAAATGCCTGGCATCCGGGACATACTGAGAAACACAAGGGCAGGCAGAGATTTCTGGCATCGAAGAGGGAGAATACAGACAGGCATGGAGAGCTGGAGGTGAGGGAAGAAACAGTAGATTGAAAGATAAAGATAGAAATACAGAAAAAGAGAGCTTTATCCAAAATCTGCCCACATAGGCTTCCCCAAGCCCTCCCCCCAAACCTTATCCTGTAACTTCTTGTTTCCAA